TAACTTTTTGAAAAATTTAGAATTAAAAATCTATAAAAAATTAATGTATTTAATATTATTAAAAATTTTCCCATGACCCGTGTCAGGGGAGTGTACAAACACGATTTATCCTTCTTGTTATACGAATATCATCAAGGGTATCTTTCAAGAGCCGTGGAAGATTGAATTAATCAGATGCTAGTTTTGTGAGATCAACTTTGTGTGGACCACCACACGCCAATAAACACAATATTTCATAAGATTCGGTGGAGCACAGCAAATATGTTAAATGGCCACGATCTACCTTTTCTTCTAAAATAATTTTGTTATTGTTACGTCTTTGCATGGAAGTTTGTACCGTGACTTCACCCCTATCACAGTAACAAAGTAATCAAAAAAATAGTTATTATCTTTGTAACAATAAAATTACGACTCAATTGTTATAACAAACCATGATACTCGAAAACGTCCATCAGGTGCCAACGCACCTTGAAAGATAGAACTAAATAACCTCCCAAAAATTCCCTTTCATGACAATCATTCTGTAACAAAGGATTTCGTTCAGTTTCAAATGCATTGAGACTACAAATAAAAAACGAATATTATTAGGTATAAACTATATAGCATCTCAAAAAAATGTGTTTTAACTTACAATCGGCCTACTGCCCACTCTATCCACCATAATATTTTTTTCCATTCATCAACCCCGTATGAGAATTCGTTTTTATAATCAGGAGCTTTAATGCTCCTTAAATTTTCCCATTGAACTCGAGCTTGCTGAACATTTTTAATCTACAAAAATATATTTGATGTGTTAATAATAATACCACAATAGAAGGATATATATTAAAATATGTATACATCAAGCAATAATATACCTTTTTTCCAAATAAGTATTCGAATATCACATCTAACTCTTTATGATATTCTACAGTGACAACGTTAGGACGATCCGCGATTAATTTGGAACAACATTCTGGTGTGAATTCTTTTGCAATTGTTGATTTCGAGGAAAGATCAAGAATGTAACTGTTTGCAGGACTAAATTGACATATTGATGTAAATTATGTTTGGTGAATCGGAAGAATGAACTCACATTAAACTTACTCAAACTTTGATGTCGAATTCTTCTCAAAATATTTCACCATAATAGAAATCAATGATGAAATATTACTTGAATTGTTTTGAATAGCTATTGAATTAAAATTCTCACTAACATATTGTTCTTGCGCTATCTCGGATGGAGACAGATCGCAGTCGCTCCCGTAATTCTATTATATATGTAATTTTTAAAGACTAGTCAGTTTCTCATTTTAATAAGCATACCTATAATCATTTACTAACCGCATCATATCCACTACTTTCATCCGTAGGCATATCCGATCCTTTAATCCGGTATATTTCTTCCACTTCTAGTACTACGTTACCTTTGTTTGTGATTATTACCAATTTCGGAGCTAGACGCGGAGGGCCCATCATCATCAACTTATAATTGAGAAGGAAAGTGAATTCACCTAAACGTCCTATTACCATATTATACAAGACATCGAGAAAATCACAGCAATCTTTTATTTTCACATTTGAACTTCTAGCTAAAAATTTTCGCTGTCATCTTCAAAACTTTTATATCAGGGGCCTACCGAAAAAAGAGATTGGTCATCGTCATCTTTTTCTAAGTGCCCGGGACTATTAACATCTCTATTAGACCCGAACTTTCTGTTTCGGCTACCGTTTCCAGAGACGATGATGATAACGTATCTTTCACATAACTCGCGGATCCTTCGGCTTTATTATCATTATTCTTGACCTGTTCATACAACAAATTGTAAAAATCCGTGAACAAACCCTTATCATAGGATTATACTCCATACTGACCTTCTTTGAGGCAGATATGTCAATTAATTTTTTATCCTGCAGATATAATGATAGTTATTAAAAAATGCTCATTATAAAATTCAAGACGACATTTTTATGCCGAAAGTTTGTTATATTCTTATTCTAACCTTTGGTAAAGATGATTCTTTTTTTCGCTTTTGTCCATTGACCGGATCACCTGTAGAAACAGACTCAATTCGTACATCGGAGCAAGATGAAAATTGTAGGTAGTTTCCTGTATCGATATTTTTACTATTCATGTTCCGGCGAAGCATGCGTTTCACGTTTGCAATATCCTGACAGTAGAAAATAAAATAATATTAGTCTATATGGGACAATTAAAAGTTCTGGACAACTACAACTAAAAAGTTCTACACAACTAAAAGTTGCGGATAACTAAAAGTTTTGGATGACCAGATAATTTGGGAGGATATAAAATATAGACCTGAATAGTGTTCAAAAGACTATTAGCTTTCTTAATTTTCTCTTGGTATCTAAACTTTTATTAATAATTGCGCGGAGACTTTTGGTAAGCGCGTCATTTGCCTTGTCGTAACTAAGCTGTTTATAATCTCCTTCATGAATACGTTTCCAATTTTGTTGGAAATGGAAAATCGACCATGCTTCTACGTCGTTTTCGTTAAAATACTCATACCATACTTTAGCCATAATCTATGTTTTCGTTTTAAAAACCGAGAAATCGTTTAACTATTTATGGAGGTCGTCTAAACGGGCAATCACGTGATACGATCGCGATTGACATCACCAACAAAAATCACTTTCACGTGATCATATAAAAAGTATTTGTCGCCCAGCGTCACACCCTCCACTTTTCATTATTTACTAAGTATTCCAGGGACTTAGAATTTTTTCGGTGTGTAAAATCATATTCGTCACATCACTATTCGTCACAAACATAATGCCTTAACTCACAGTTAATGCCATAACTCTGGCCAAAAAGTCACGTAAAGTGATTTTTTGTTGGTGATCCTGGGGTATCATGTGATTTTTCGTTAGAATACCAAATGATAATTGGCTAAAAAAATGTGTTCCGGCGAAGTAAAATTTCTTAAAAATATCAATAAATCATTAATAAAAAAATTAAAAAATATTAAATAATTAATTAAAATAAAAAAACCCACCCATATTTATTGTTTTTATTGTTTTATTTGAATTTAAAATGTAATTTTTTTTTTATATTTACATAATAAAAAATTCGTAAAAATTTTTTAAAAAAAAAAAATCAAAGTTTTATCTACATAAAAAAAATCGTAAAGCTTTTTTATATACATAAAAAAAAAAATTTGTAAAGTTTTTTTTTACATAAAAAAAAAATAGTAAAATTTTTTTTACATAAAAGATTCATAATAATTTAAGAAGTCAAATCTGCACAATAATTAGAGTCCAATATAATCTTGCATATTTATTAGTATCAAAATACTAATAAATAATTCTAAGTTTTTTCGCTCAAATTATCATCAAAATGTGAAATAATCAGATTTACAGAAGCTTCTAACATAGAAATAAAAGATTGCATTTTCTCGATATCACTCATTTTTTCAACATGTCAATATCTATTGTGCATTCTTTTGGTTAATTCACCTACAGCAATTCTTTGATTCTTAGCAATTTTCTGTTGCTCTGTCTGAATATATTCTATAAATGATTCTCAACTTTCATACACTTCAAACCTGCTTTCTTCGAAAATTTTAAAAAACATTTGTCATACGTTGGTAGCCAATAATTTATTGCCGTACATGTGTTCATGAAAAATATATTTATAAGGTAATAAATATCAATGGTAAAATAAGCAATAACAATCAAAAGAAGTAAAACCTGACGTACTTTTTCCTTTTTCAAGCCTATTCATCACAACACAGGTTTTTCTAATGATTAATTATTGAAACAGGAATGTGAATTTTTGGATTTCTTCAAAAATATCATCATCAACACCATACGCAGATATTTTCTTGATACAAAAATCAAAGGATACACTTTCAGTTTCAAATCTTTTTGCAATCAATATTGACGACTTTGTAAGCGGTACCTAAAATATAAAAGTTTTGAGTTAGGCATATAGGCAAAATAGCCAAATAAAAATCATGTACTGATTAAACTATATGACGAAAATGTTGTTTTCTTTAATTTACTATGAAAAGATTCTAGCAAATTCGTTAAAGTAACTTGTAAAAGCAAGGGGAATATTATCGAGTCTATAAGTCCTATTTCTTAGTATTTTTCATATAATTTCTTTTAATATAACTTTGTATAAAAGGAACAGAACAAGAATTAATAGCATTTTGAATAAGGCTTTCACATCTAATCTTTGTTTTTTATACATCGTCATGATCATAATATCTCAGGTTTATTTTAATGAATTTTTTGCATCTATATTCTCATAACATAGATAACGCAAAGGAGAATTTGGCACTCTTATTCATCAGCAGCCATGCTGAAAATTTTCTTTTTAATGCTCTTAGTTTCGATATTACTATAATCCAAAAGTATATAACAGGAAGACCAATGATAATACTTATTGCAGATTATTATTAAAGCTTCTGCAACTGTATCTGTATCCTTACTACTTACAAAAATGGATAACTACGTTCTAACATTCGTAAGTATTATAGATATAAAGAGTAAATAAATGCCAATCATACCAGTTTATCTTATGTGTTGAATCTATAAACATCAATCATCTATGATGCTTAAGCTTTTTTAGTTACTCTAAATACGCAAATATAATACCTCTGGTAAACCGTTAAGAAATACAGTATATTTTAACACAATATTTTTACTTTATTAAATAAGAAATAGATTCTAAAATATCTAATTTTAAATTCGAATTTTCAATAAGATAAGTTTTTGTAGGCTCACGAACTTTATATTTGATGTTTGCTACTTCTTTGTGCTTCAGCTCGTGTATATATTCACCAAAACCTAACTCTAACATTACATATTAGATGTAATTGTTGAAGGCGAATAATTTTTAGTCACTTCTATTTCAACTTAACATCTAATAGTTTTTGACTATTTTAACCTATCGATTTCTGATAAAGAATAAGTATAGTTAAGGGAATTTTTTATATCTCTCTATTTGAACTACATTTAAAGAAGCTATTCAAAAAACTTTAATCAGATAGCCATATCCTAGTTATTTAGCATTTTTCATTTGGGATATATTTTTTTTATCAGATACTTGACTTGCAGTGCTTCATAAAATAACAGGCAAAGATTTTCAAATATCACTGTTTACATATTTATATGAGTCTCATTTCATTCAAATATTCGAAATTAATGATTACCACTCTTTATTAAAAACTTTTATTGGAATTTCTAAAGTGCGGTCTATATAAAAAAGAAGATCCTACTTTTCATCTAGTATAAGATTTAATACTAAAATTATTATTAGAAAAAAAGAAGTTGAAACAGATATGTTTTTTTTTGAAAAATAACAATAAATGCATAATATTATAATAAAATACAAATTAAATTAATTATCATTTGACACTCCTGACTAATCCTGAAATAATATCACGTAATTTGCTCTCACTTTAGATATCTCTATTTCTTTAAAACTACATATCTATAAATTTAATGATAATATGATAGAATTCTTGTGATCGCATGTTTTGATTAAATGTTCAATTTATTGATTTTTCAAATATACAGTGGTGATTAAAAGTATTGCATCACTTTCATATTAAATTTAAAATATAAATTATGAAAGCTTGCATAACAAATTTATGTTTTAAATTCTGAATCTCCAACATTATTTTAAAATAATTTTTTTGTTTAATTCATAGTATAATTTTGTATAAATTGGTTGATTTATAAAATCGTAAATTTTCAACTTTTTATTTAGAATAATGATAATATTCTGTTTCACTTTTATATTATTTGTCATGTAATCTATAATTCTCATATTTTCCATTGCAAATAAGGCATGGTGAACTCCACAGCTGAGTAGATATAAAATTATAATTATCAATCCCTCTAAAATTATTTCAGAATTTCAAGTATATGAAATACTTTAACACAGATTTGATAATTAACTCTGAATCAAATTTTGCTTTAAAAGTGATCCTTTTTCTTCACATTATTCAGAAAAAAATAAATTAGATACTTTATTTTCTGACTTCAAATTTATGAGAAGGTAACCTCTGATGATTATTATAACTCATACTCAGTTTTTTTTTTATATTTTTTATATAAATTAGAACAAATCTTATCTGTCAAAACATTTGGTAATCCACTTAATTTGGTATGCCAATCTAGATATTATTACATAGAGAAGACATAGATGATGATGATCAAAAGGATGACATTGATCCTTAGGAAATCATATATATCTTCTATATTATCTATATCATCTATAACATATATTTCTTTATATAATATCTTTCTTTTATTTATTTTATTTTATTTATCTTATATATTTATTATATTATATTTATTTTATTTATTTTATTTCTTTCTTTTATATCTTTGGTAACTTTATGTATTTCATTTTATATAAATAGAAGATATTTTCTTTTAGCTTAGCGATGTGTTTGATAAGTAGATTTACAAGATAGTTTAGTTTAATTCTCTTAATATATTTATATAGTACAGAGCGTCAATTGAGGCAGTACTTCATTTGTTATAGTTATTAAATAAACCTTCAATCAATCGACATTCTTCTAAAATTAAATACAAAATAAACCTTCTATTTATTACCCATAAATATTGCTTCACTTATCACTTATAAACATCTCAAAGAACTGATCATAACAATATTCAGAGTTAATACTTTATTGGACTTGATCATGTTAACTTTTTTCTATAATTGTGAATCAATTTAAATTAGATAATAGACTAATAAATGATATAATTAGTCCTAAAATATAAGTATAAGCAAATAGAATCTATTATAAAATAATGAGACTATGCAGTTATCTCTATTTCAAACTGTTCATATTTAATAAAATAAGATCTGACTTTATATCTATCTTCTAAACTTTTCTCATTATCATACTTTAACTTGTATACTAGGAATATTTTCTCGTTAGTAATTTTAAAATAATCAAAATCTTCACTACTAAATTCTTTATATAAATTATATTATTAATCCAATGTCTTATTACAGAAATAAGTGCAGTTATAAGTTGGATTAGTTCTACTTGTTTGAAATGTGACTGATAAAATTATTTCTATAAAAGTCATATAACTTTAATCATTACTATTGATAATAGTTTTTGAAATTACATAAACCTGATCATTCACATAATCTATAATATTTTAAATTTAAGTATTATTTAATCTAAAAATATTATTTGCATTATAAGTGACTAACTTAATTCTATCAATCCTAACCTCTTTTTCTTCAAATAGTATAAGAATATTTTAGTTCTATATGCTTAGATTCACAAATTACCCAAAATAATATTAGATAAATATTACAACATTTTTTTATATATTATTAATCTTGCTATCTTATCTCTAGTCTTGTTATTAGCTGTAATACTTTTACTTTTTCTTTAAATATAAAGGAATAATGATATAAGCATAAGATTTTTTTTAAACCTATTCTTATAGCCTCATCAATCTAATAAGCTAATCTCTATATAGAACTTTTAATTGCATTATTTAAAATAGACTTGTCATATAGTCATGTAGTTCAATTATTGTTACTGAAAAAATAGGTCTAGAAAGATCATGCTTCAAAATTTGTTTAGTGACTTAATTTCTATTAAGCAGTTATATAAAAATTAGCCTAAACGTTTTATTAGATGAGGCATTCTCATTATCAGTACAAGTGATTATTTTCATGTTGTATGATAGGTTGTCTTGAATCACTTTAGTGTTTGTCTTCTCAATAGATAACAGAATAGGAATATTATGATTGCCTATACTAAGTGATATTTTTGAATCTTAATCATTACTAATAGTAACAGTTTTTTTATTACATGATAATTTTGAATTTATTATTTTTTGTATTGGATGATAAATTTCTAGAAAAAGCTTGATTTTTGGCTAACTTATATTAAAGTCTCTTTTCTTTATTATATTACCTTATTTTATCATTAACGCTTTTTTAAATATGTGTTTCATTTAAGAATTTATCTATCTTTCTCTTCTTTGATAGCTTAAAATTGATCTCTAGTAACACTTCTAATATCACATTTGCTTTACAAATAGGTACATATTGTTTGAGCTAGTCTATTACGAAATCATCATCAGCAGATATTTCTGATAATCCTTCTAGTATTGCTTCTTTATTATTCTGTAATTGCTTATCTATTACTACAGAACTCTTTTCCACTACAACAAGTTTAGCCTCAAGCTTAGCATTTTTCTGCTCTAAGTTTTTACCTTAATATTATGCTTCTAATTATATTTCTCATTCACTTTTAAAGCCTTAGCAATCCTATACTTAAGTTTAACTATTTCAGTATCAAATACTAAGAGCTTGTTTCTAAGATTAGAGATCACAGTATTCTCCTTCCTAAACTTTGTATTCTCAGCCTTAAATTCAATGATACACTGTTTTAATACTTCAAGTTCTGATAACATGATCCATATATAATTAATACACTGCATATAAGTATTCTAAATAAAAAAATCTCATAATTTTTAGCGAATTAAGTTTGCTGAAATTTTGCTACAAAAAATTTTTTTATTAATACATACAAAAATAAATACAAAATTTAGGACTTAGTCCATAATATATATTATTTTTTAATAATTTTTTTGATTCTAGTCTTTTGCTAGCTAAAAAACTATCTACATTAATCTAATTCTTTAATAATTTTACAATTATGTTAATTACCCTTTTTACATTACTTTAAAATAATATGAAATTATCTTTAACTGTGAACTTTGTAAAATTAATTTAGTATTCGCTTCCATTTATAAAGTATATACCATTAGGAGTATATATGATAAAATACTACTTTATACTTATGATCATAATACATAATTATCATCAAATAGTCATTTTCAAATGCTTGATCTGCAGTCGTTTCTTTTTATTTATCTGAAATACACTTTCAAGCTGTATCAAATTTTAAGAAATAAAATGAATTAATATTATTGAATTTCTTTTAGATTATCATACTAAAAACACAAATTAAGTATTAGACTTATTTAAGTATATCTAAAGATAACACTACAACTAGTTGTAGCCAGTGATAAATAAGCATTACAAGGTTGCAACTAGTTATAACGTTAATAAAAATTGAGTTGTAACTAGTTACAACTGGTAACAAATAAGCATTATATAGTTATAACTAGTTGCAATGTTATCTTTAATCTGAATATAGTATAAAGGCTTTTGTATAATTATTATACAAAATATTAGCAATCAAATAGGATGACTATAATAAAACATATTGCATTTCTAACTTTTTAATCAACTGAAAATACAATATGAATGCACTTTAATAATACAAACTTTGGGACGCAAAAAGAAAGATATGCAGATGTATTTGAAAATAAAGCCTTCTGCAGAATTATATTATATAAAAATAGTAGAAGGCTTCACTTTTTAGATATGTATTTAGGTATAATAAAACCTTTGCGTAAGATAAAAATATACTAAAAAAGTGATATTGAAGTTGATTGATCTCTCTTAAGATGTTTCAGAAATACAAATAAATATATTTTTTAGGTAGATAACATCAGTAATATTATATAAAATAATGGAATATGTCTATCTATTATTAATATATATTTTGGATATAGTATGTAGCTTTCTTCAAAAATATTATATAAAAAATTAGAAGAAGGCTACACCTTAATGAAAATTAACTAGACATGATTTAGATATAAAAAACCTAAATATATATTGACAATAAATAAACATAATTAGGTTGCAAGATGACGTTATCACGATGGTTTCGTGACTTTAAATAAATTCTCAAAAGGTGGTAAATAAAACTAAGACAATTACTCAAGAAATCACAGATGAGGATTTACAATAACGTCGAAGAGTTATTCTCAATATAAATCACGTGAGGTAAACACAAAATAAACATAAAGTTAACTCAAAGATATTTTAGAGATTACACTTCAGAGACTCCAAGTCAATACAGCGAATCAATACAATATCATATAATAAGTTTACTAACAAAATGGATTGCACAAATGCAAAAGGTCACAGATAATTTATAACAGTTTCAAAGGATTGTGAAGGATAAGTTTTATACTTGATTAATTATACTCCTTTATTAATATAATATATAAGTTCAGTACCTAAAAGATTAAC